AATGCTTTAGTGATATAAGATATTTTAATTTTTGAGCTTAATTTATGTGTCTGGACCGTCTACATCCGCGTCGATAGTTTTTTATGTGTCTGCAAAATGATTTCGAATAAGCATAAGAAATCATCCCCCTCAGATTTATAAATTAATGTAACCCGCCTCTTACGGGCGGGGCTAATATTGTTAATTTCAATTTTTAATAATTTTTATTTAGTATAAGTTTAGAGCGCAGTATAGAAACATCAACTATCTGTTGCCATTATATTCACCATATTTTCTTATAATATATATTAATTATCAAACGTCGCATTTTATTTGAATAATCACAGATCACACCAAGAGTTCTATTATACAATAGAACAAATTTAAAAGTGAAGTGTTTAGATAATTAAATCGACAACACCCTGTTAGACGTCGAAGTAAAATTTAAGCTTCGCGCCTGAACACGTAAGGTTCACATGCGATTGAAGTAAAACTTATTTGCTACTCTACAAGATGGCATTTAAGTAAAAATAAATACATCATATAAAAATTTTGAATAATGATTCTAAGTATTATGATAACACTCGTGATGCACACATTTAGTGATGTGAACCATTATGCATATTTAAATAATAATAAATTTTAAATGATATATTTATATCATTACAAATATGTATAATATTTAAAATCAATAATGTAATTAAAGTCATACTTCAAATATGGCATGATCGGTTTGTCATTGTAATTAGCATTTAGAAATGAACATTAATTAGAGAAATGAAATGATTGCTTATTAATAAATTCTATAATATTCGTGAATTATGTTAAACAACGCCTAAACAAATATTGTTTTCGCAACTTCACTCATCATGCAATTGTGTTTGAAAAACTTAATGTAATTAAAATTAACTTGCATTCATTGATTGCTTGTATTTTTTTTTTACTTTTTCGCTGGCGATACGATCTCATTCTTTGAACAGCTGTAATATCTGTCTTGCCTAAAAATATTTTCCATTTTAATAATTTCAAATATTTATAGAAACTACGAATAATATACACAGTAACAATGTTTAATTTGTTTTATTATTTTCAATAAACAGTGTAAAATATTCTTCTGATTCTGTCTTACGATGATCTCAAGTAAAATGCCTTTCTGGGCATTGCTTTAAAATATGTTCGCATTACTATCAAAAATATATCTAATATAATCTCATCAGAAATAGAATGGGTAACCACCGAGATGCCTTCTAATAACACTAGGTTAAAAAAATGTACTTTACAAGAACTCAGAAATTCCACGGGTCTGATTGCTGTTCAAATATACAATAAATCTATCAAAATACCTACAATCTCCTTTGTGTAAAATTCAAAACAATAAATAGACGCAAACAAATGTCTCCCTTCTTGTAGTCGAAGTGTTAGACAAATCAATTTGGCAGCAAAAATCACTCACAATCACTCACAATAGGAATTTTTAAGAAGCAAAACGCGTATTGAATTTTCTCTAACTTTTCGTCAGCCCTCTTTCAGATTGAAATGTATGTGGAATAACTACAAAGCTACATTCTGTTAACACACTGAGAATAAAGTTTTAGAAATCGTATTGTGAAGTTTAGTTTCTGTCGGGGAACAATTTTGAGGTGATAATAATGGATTTATATCGTTTTGGAAAATAAATTTTGATAAAAATTAATTTTTAACTTTCCATAGGGTAATCTATAGTAATCCCAAAAAATCGAAAATAAAATTTTTGGTATATCTTTACGTTTCAAAAGCTTTTGAACATTTTGGCATACCATAGAAAACGTGGATGCCTGTGTATTTGTGTGTGTATGTATCTATGTGTATGTATGTATGAGCGGATACATATTTTCGTAGATGATTTCAAGAGCACGGATCAACTAATATAAATCGATTTTTTTCGATGTGGAGACGTGCTGATTAGTTTTTGACAAGAGCAGGTGTAGCCGTTTCAAAGATACGGGAAAAGGTGCTAAAAATGGCAATTCGGCTTTTGAGAGAACGAGCACGGATCAACTGATTTGAATAATTCAAAAATCATTCAATTTATATTGATGAAAAAACGTGCTAATTTGTTTTTGGCATTGGCAGGTTTAGCCGTATCGAAGATACGTGGCTAAAAGTGCGGAAAATAAAAATTCAGTTTTTGAGAGAACGAGCACTTATAAAGTTCTAGTATTTATAAAAATATGTTTTAACATATCAGAAATAATTTCCATTAATTATTGATCCATGTTTATTGATTGACCATTTTCATTCCTCGAATGTTTAAATGCATTACGGGAGGTTCCAGCAATTTGCTTTAAGGCGCAATGCCATGCACCACTAGATTATATTCACACTAATGATTAGACAACTCACCATCTGAAAACTTTGGAAATTTAATATTATTTAATAAAATAATGAAAAACAAGGTGTAATTTACTACCTATAGTAAGTTATAGTAATCACAAAAAATCACAAAGTTTTTCATGTATCTTTACGTTTCGGAGGTTTCTGAATATTTTGGCATACCTTAGTAAAAATGCACATACAGTAAAACTTTGGAAACTTTAATAATATTTAATAAAAAAATAATGAAAAATAAGGTCTAATTTACTTTGTTCAGACAATATTTTTTAACTTTCTTTATAGTAAGTTATAGTAATCACAAAAAATCGAGAATATTTTTTTCATGTATCTTTGCGTTTCAGAGGTTTCTGAACATTTTGTCATACCTTAGTAAAAATGTATATATGCGTGTGTGTATGTGTGTTTGTTTGGGTGTGTGTATGTGAGCGGATACAAATTGTCGTCGACGATTTCGGGACCACAGATCAACCGATTTGAATAATTCAAAAAACGTTCGATTCGTATAAAAAAATCAAAATATAATAACGAAATTCAAATTTTTAAAAAAGTCAATATTTCAAGAATTTTATTACTTTCAAAAATCTCATTTTTTTCAGTTTTCTTAGAAGTTTAAATTTTTTTAAAACTTTTAATTTTTAGTACGGCAAGTTCCAGCAATTTGCCTATGCACTAATAATATTATAGCCATAAATAAATAAATATATCAGCATGTTGTTTCAATTATTAACTTATACTAATTATGTTTGTAAAATGATTTTTCATTAAAATATTTCTATATGTATGTATATGCGAAATAAAAATCAGATATTTTCATCTCATGCACTCTAAAAAGGCATTTACTTTGTGGATATTACCAAACATCAAACATATATCGCTTATTAATCGTACGATAGGTTCATTGAAGTATGTAATACTGAAAAGACGAGACTACAATGACATCAAAGGACCTTTTATCTTTGTGCATTACAAAGATTTATTGCTTTAAATTTCTAATAAATATTATATCCCGATTGAAAGACTTCCATAGATTAGTATTAAGTTATTGAAGAAGTTTCATAATATACGAAGATTCGAGACGAGGAAGATAAATCGTTTCATCGTAATAATACATATATGTATTGTTTGCATTTTCTTAAAAAATGATGTAAAAATTAAATGTAAATAATAATTGTTTAATATGGAAAGTAATAGTGTAGAGCGGGGTTTACAAGTCCGCGGGTAAAAAGATCCATCACCGATATATCAAAAACAAGTAAAGTTACACGTAGAATTAAAAAAGTTAACGAAATTAAAAAGAAACAACCTTTTTTTAAACGACAATTTAAATAAATAGTTATTCCAAAATTTCCAAGTTTTAGTTCACTTGTACACATTTTGGTGTCAAACGATTCAGAATAACCTGAAACGTCGAAAAAAATGAGCAAAATAGATTTTCTGACTACATATGAACTTGTCCTTCAGAAAGTTAATAATTAATAACTGCATCATCAAAATCTGTTGCTGTTTACTCAATAAACCTTTGCAATAATAAAAGTCTATTTTCGGTCCCAAGCCTCGTTAATCACGAAAACATGGATTACCGTTTACATTATTCATTTCTCCATTGAGAATATTCAGCGGAGATCGATTTTAATATGATAAGGAAAGAAAAAATCTTCAAAGGCACCAAAACGGTTTCACCCATCCTTCTGCTCGCGAGTAATATGAAAAATACGCGAAAATAAAGCTATGAAATATGGATGAAGATTAAATCGAGTGCCATGGTTCACCCGATTATTCACCTAACTCATCCCTTAGACGATTGTCTAACCCCATTTTTTACTTCTCTAATAGTAAAAGAGCTAGAAAGATAATTTTAATTATTAATACATAGTTCTAAAATTTGTAATTATTAGAATAAAAAACTATTAGTAGTTACTAGTAGATACCAATTCATCGTATCAAGACAACTGTAATTAAAAGTTTGAAAGTTGTATTTGCTATTCATAAAATAGCAAATTCAATTAATTATTCCTAAAATTGTATAAAAATCTTAGATATTAGTATAAAATTTTAGATATTAGTAGTCATTTTTAGTATAAGTAAAATGATAGCTATGGTTTTGTTCGTAATTAATCGATCACCCAAAAAAGACAGAATGTGACTATAATAGAATATCACTTTAACAATTAATTTTTACGTCTTGAAGAAATATGTATGATATAAAAAAAAGCCTTAAAAAACTTGTTTGTTTAGATAGGGGGAAAAAAATTTGGCGTCAATAATAATTAGAATTATATTTTTTCCTTGCTCAGTTGATCCAAAAACTATTTATTAATTATTTATTGCACAGTCTTACTAGCTAAAACTCATATTTATGATTTAGAAAATAAAATAGTTTTTTTGCTTTGTAATATCTTGAATCTTTGTGATATTGTAGATCAGATCTAAAAACTAACATATGACTTGTTACGTCTTGCGTGACGTACGTTTACTGAGCACAGAGATTTGCATCTTCCGTCTTGAGTCTTGGATTTTCCGGCATAAGTCTAGGATCTTTTGGCATGAGTCTAGGATGTTTCGGCATGAGTCTAGGATCTTTTGGCATGAGTCTTAGATCTTCCGGCATGAGTCTTGCAGCTTCCGGCATGGGTCTTGCAGCTTCCGGCATGAGTCTTGCAGCATCCGGCATGAGTCTTGCAGCTTCCGGCATGAGTCTTGCAGCTTCCGGCATGAGTCTTGCAGCTTCCGGCATGAGTCTTGCAGCTTCCGGCATGAGTCTTGCAGCTTCCGGCATGAGTCTTGCAGCTTCCGGCATGAGTCTTGCAGCTTCCGGCATGAGTCTTGGAGCTTCCGGCATGAGTCTTGGAGCTTCCGGCATGAGTCTTGCAGCTTCCGGCATAAGTCTTGCAGCTTCCGGCATAAGTCTTGCAGTTTCCGGCATAAGTCTTGGAGCTTCCGGCATGAGTATTGGATTTTCCGGCGTGCTTCTTGGAGCTTCTGGCATAAGTCTTAAATCTTTCGTCCTGAAACTTGGTCCCTCCGATGCGAGAATTGGATTTTCCCTCTTGAGCTTTGAATTTTGAGTCATCAAATTTGGATCTTTCGTCTAGAGTCTTGAGTTTTTCATCTTTTTATTCGTAGATCTTCTACTCAAGCCTAGAGTCTTTTGTCTTGAGTTTTGTGTATTCCATCTAAAATCCAGAAATATTTATTTCACGTTTTGTGCTTTACATGTCATGCATTTGATAACTTGGATCTTGCATGTCATGATTTGCTACTATCATGTTGCAACTAAAAACTATTAAAGTTTTGAGTCTTGCATTCAACGTCTTTAGTCTTGAATTTAACATCTCCATTCTTGCCTCCCATTGCATTTCCAATTTTGAAAAATTTCAAAAATTTATCTTTAGTATGATTAGTTTAAAATGATTAGTAGCACAATTTGAGGTCTATGACTGTTGTTTTATATATCATTTTCATATTTGCTTATTTTTACTCAAATAAAAAAGTAAAGTAAATTAATATGTAAGTACCTCATTCAGCTGTCTTACTATTTTATCCGTATAGAAAAAATGCCAAAGCAACTGGTAATCAATTCTGTGCGCTTAAAAGCGAACCGAGGAGAAATAGGTACGTATTATCTCTTTGTTGCCAAAGAACGAAAAAAATATATCAGAGAAGAATGCAGATTATAAACGACCACAAAAAAGAATTTCGTATTTTTTTGCTTTTCACGAAAGTTCAAAGCGAAAATTTGACGTCGATCGCGGTTTTATCAGAAAACGCTTTGGGTAGGCATTGATAAATGAATCGTTTGAACTGATTAAATAAATGATAGACTAATACCGAAATTAAAATGAATCAAAATTCGTAATTTAATGAATATTTATATGCTAAAGCACTTTGCCACGATTCAAAGGATAAATTAAAAAATGGTCATCTTAACAAGCATTTGGTCAATTTATTGACATGTTGATCCATAACAGAAATTTTGCCAATGTCAATTGCAGCAGATAAATGAGAAAAACACCAATTTCAAAATAAAAATATAGACATATAATTTCAAATTTTCAAAACTTTTCAGGAAAAAACATATAACTAAAATATGGAAAAGTAAACTATAACCAAGATATGCAGAGCTTTCAAAAAGTGGACCTCCCCCCTTTGGACAGTGCGCTAGTAATAATAATAATGACAAAATTATTATCAATCAGTTGAATTACAAAAATCTAATGAAATCATTATCAAATCAGTTCACGTTCTCCGACCACAACTTAAAAATCATTTCTGCTTTCTGCTTGATTTTTTCCTTTAACACAATTTTAATATTCATCTCATGTCGAGATGTCTGCCATCGAACTCTCGATGGTATCTTATTTTTCAGTCTCCCCATAATTCTGTATATTTTAATAAATATTTTTCACAAAAATTGAATTACGTTTTGCGATTAAAATCATGTCGTACGTTTACCCCTTGAACGCAATATCTGATACAGGGAGAAAGAAAAAAATATATAGTCAGAGCGCTGGTGAAATTAGTAATAATTTCTTTTTTTTAACCGTGTAAAAGTATATATTAATAAGTTTATTTATTCAAGCAATCAGTGCATAACGATAAATTATTGTCAAAGTTGCTTTTTCTGTGAATTTCTTAGAATGCATATTTTTGTTTAACAAAGCTTAATAAATTAACATTTTTATTAAAATAAATTAACTATTTAATATATAGTAGCCTAATCTATGTTCTACTGATCCGGGTATCTGTGAATTAAAATATCACTTCTAACAAAAAATTTAAAAAATGTAACAGAATTATAAGATTTATGAGCCCGCCGAGGGTCCATGATAAAATCGGACAGCTTAATATCAAGCAGCAGTGCTATAAGAATTACATTTGATTATAAATCTCTAATATGATGTCAAGTAAAAATAGCTAAAATTAGGCCATTACTATCACTATCTCCATTAGAAATATGTCTAATATATAATCTCACCAGAACGAAAATTGTTATCCACTAAATTGCCTATTAGAAACACTAGGTTAAGGAATAAAAATCATAACTTACACATACTTATATAAGAGCTTATAGAACAAATAGCTCTGATTGCTGACCAAATATAACAAAAATGAAATTTTCAAGAATTCTTGCAATAATCAATTCTAAATCAATTTAAATTTTGTAACAAAGTTTCTTTTTAAATTACTAATTATTGGACTGCTCATTGTTTGTTATTATCACATTCTTTTGAGATCACGAATTAAATTGTAATTAGTACATTGCATTGAATATATATAGTATAATTATATACATGAACTAGTGGTGCATGGCATCGTGCCTCAAGGAAAATTGCTGGAACTTCCCGTACCTTAATAAAATATTCGAGAAATTTGAAATATTTTCAGCCTACATTATATTTTTACCAAAAACTAATCGCGCTATCGATATGAATCGAAGGCTTTTTGAATCATTTAAATTGGTTGATCCGTGCTCCCAAAAACGTAGACAAAAAATTGTATCCACACATACATACACACACATGCATACATAAATTTTTCACAAAAGACAAAACACATATCTGGGATGCATAAAGGCATTTCCTTCGCTATACAAAAGAAAAAAAAACACATCAATTTTTCTAAGATATGGCAAAACGTTCAAAAACCTCTGATTTTTGGATGATCACAATAAAGTACCATGTGGAAAGTTTTTTATAATTAGTGTATACAACTAGTATATATATATATATATATATATATATATATATATATATATATATATTCTTTTTTTCCTACTTGAGCTCCAACTACTATTTTCTCGTATCGGTAGGTGCATCGTTTGATTTTTCCCTTCTCTTCTTGTGGAGCAAAATCTCCACCGTTTGCGCGAGCGAAGCGTTTAATTACACAGATGACTTGATCGTAATATGATTATGGGATAAATAAAATAAAAAATACAAGCAATAAGCAGACGAGAAGACAATTTTTCGCGGCCTGATAAAGATAGATGATTGGCCGAAGGGATAGAAGACTATACATATATTCATACTGACAAAATGCATACATTCAAGAATATGCATTTATATTATATATATATATATATATATATATAAATTATGTCAAAAGAATAATCCATGTAAATATAATAAACACTAAGATGAAAGAAATAAGATAAAAGATAATTGGAGTAAATGGAGAAAGAAATTTAACAAATGTAATATAAAACTTTAATTGTAAAGAGTACATTTAGTATATTTAATAAATGTCAGGAATAAAAAGCAAAAAGTATTTGATTGTGAGTCAGATCTATGAACACATATCAATGTTTTTTTAATTCGTAGTTTAATTATGCAACTATAATCATTACATTACATATAGAACATAGAACATAGTTATCATCGAAAATAATCAATTTATTTAAATATTTAACTTCAAATTTGCTTGCAAATCCCTCAAGCATTTGTAATTGTTTTTCAGTATCAGTAAGTCGGATTTTCTGACAAAAAAAAAATTTCTTCGAGCAGGTAAGAAATTAAAAAGTTTGTTCACACAGTAGATTTTGTTAAACAACGCCTAAATAAATATTGTTTTCGCAACATTCCTCATCATGTAATTGTTTTTGAAGAACTTCATGTAATTAAAATTAACATACATTCATTGACTAGTTGTATTTTTTTACTTTTTCGCTGGCGATATAATCTCATTCTTTGAACATCTGCCTTGCCTAAAAATACTTTCGATTTTAATAACTTCAAAGATTTATAGAAACTACAAATAATATAGAAATAATTTCTAATCAATAAACTTAAGTTTATCATTTCACGTTTTATTATTTTCAAGGAACAGGGTAAAATATTCTTCTGATTCAAGCATTTTCATTAAGATTTGTAGTACGATGTAACTTTAAAATGTTTATTTATCTATGCCGATTTCCTTGTTAATATCGGTACGCATACAACGTTGATGCCGGTACGCATACAACGATAGATCTCTTTTCACATACGCGACGACTAGTCACAATCAACCCGTTTAGAAATGACATTATCGAGAGCGAATGACGAATCATTAGCACTCGACTCTTACCTTATCTTATACGCCGTAATGCACTTCCGTTGCATTTGTACGAATTTAAACCTTAGTCGCGCCTGAAGAAGTTTTACTTCAAAAACCGTTGTTGAATTATCAGCTAGCATTACTTTCTGATCTTAACATTGAATAAAATGTTTTTTTAGTGTAAGGTATCTTGGAATACACATCCCATAAATTGCATGACCTAAATGCATTCAGAATTGTGCTTCTATCAAATTCCTAGAACGAACAGAAGTGGGATAAAAGTGGAATTAGCAGAGCATGTTTAACATAAAACAATTGTTGATTATTTTTATTACTCGAATTTTTGATACGGTGCATAAAGTCCTAGCAATTTTCATTAGGGCACGATGCCATGCACCACTAATTTTCTTAGCTATAAACCTTGCGGAGCCCGAGACCTTTCCAACGAATGCAAAATTGTCGAAATCGGTTCATGCGTTCTGGAGTTATTTCGTCAGGAAGGAAAACCCGACTTATTTTTATATTTATTTATATATATAGGTTTATAACTAAGAAAATTAGATGTGCATGGCATCGTGCCCTAGTGCAAATTGCTGGAACTTTACGCACCGTAATTAAAAATTCGAGTAATAAAAATAATCAACAATTGTTTTGAATAATTTCAAATAGATTATCTTCTTCTTCTATATATATATATATATATATATATATATATATATATATATACGAGTATATATATATATACAAATTCCGGAATTTGCGAGTGGAAGGGGTTAAATACATTTTTCATAAACCTGCTGTTTACGAAAATGATTATTTTGAACGTACTGATACAATATAGTGTTTTTAAGAATAACTTTGATATTCAACATCCGAATATAATAATGATAAAATAAGTACTAAAATTCATTTTAAAATATAGTAAATTTAATTTATGTGAATATCTTCAATACATATAGTACAAATCTAAAGTTATATATAGGCAAATCATTATCAGACAGAGTGAGACATTACTTGACCCCACGAACATCAA